ATATAGTGTGCTATGATCTCCATAGGGTCTGCTAACATTGGCAAGCTCTTTAACTTCTTCTGGCTTGAAATTCCTTTGTCTGGAAAATGAGAGAAACCTGTGGCTGGGTTGGGACAAACCTGTGGCTGGTTTGGACCTAGAAGAGGGGAGTGGGCTTCCCAACTTTGCCAGACTCTATGGAGACTGAGGATGGTGAGGCAGTGGCCCAGGTTGCCCAGAGAAGCTGTGGATGTCCCATCCCTGCAGGGGTTCAAGGCCAGGCTGGATGAGGCTTTGAGCAACCTGGGCTAGTGGGAGGTGTCCCTGCCCATGGCAGGGGGGGTGGAACTCGATGGTCTTGAAGGTCCCTTCAAACCCAAACCATTTGGTGATTCGATGAGATGATACAGAACTATATACTGCTAGGATTTCATTTGTAGAGCTCCTTTGCATACACAAGTGGAGGCTTAGATAGAAGCATAAAATATGAACATCTCAGATGGGTTTTGTGAAGATGCTTTGGGTAGGTGATGGTCCTTAAACCCATCTTGATCTGGTTTGTGCCTCTTCCTTTCCTAAGCCACATAGTTCATCCTGGAGCTTGGATGGTCAGTGATGCGTTGACTCCAGGTCTGTTGTCTTCACAGATTGAGTTGATAATGGAGGCGATTCACAAAAACAGGAATTTGCAGTACAAGAAGACCATGGAGGTAAAGCAAATCTGCTGCTGTTTCTTGATGTATGGGTTAACGCTGCTAACATGCGCATGCACAGGCAGACTCATCCACCAGGGTCTTCCTCCTCTGCTGCAGCTCCCTACGTTGCATCTGCATGAGCGGTGTGCAGGGCATGCCCAGCAAAACTGAAGAGTATGCAAGGCATGGGGCTGGTGGTAGCCTCGCAGGCTTGACTATGAGTGATTTAGATGTCTTGGACTCTATCACCATGAGCTTGTAATCTTGAATGAGGAGTAGCTTGTCTTGTGAGGTTGGTTTTTGCCCAAGCAGTAGGACATCTGGGACCTTGCATGTTGTCCCCTGCTCTTCACTCGTAGGCTGTGCTTTCCTCCAAAGCCTCCCGTGTAAGCTGTATTTGCATCTTGTTGCTTGCTGACATGCTCCTGACCCCTTTGGTGGCTCTCCTAGGCCAAGCGGCTCTACGAGCAGCGCTGCAGGGACAAGGATGAGGCAGAACAGGCTGTGCACCGCAATGCAAACCTGGTGACGCAGAAGCAGCAGGAGAAGGTACGGAGGAGAGGGGTAGCTGTGGGGCAGCAGGAGAAAGGGGTGTCTCTTCCTGAAGCTCTCCTGCCCCATGGCTCTTCTCCCAGCTCTGGGGCTTGGGATAAGGTCAGGTGATGTTCCTTGGTTGTGCTGGTGATGCACTGGAGCTCTCCTCTACCTTTCTTCTGCCCAGGGAAGTGGTGGAATCACCATCCCTGGAGGTGTTCAAGAAACGTGTAGATGTGGTGCTTTGGGACATGGGTTAGTGGGTTAGGTGGTGTTGGCTTGACAGTTGGACTTGATGATCCTTGAGGTCTTTTCCAACATGAACGACTCTATGATTCTATGATTCTCTCTCCTATTTTTGGCAGCTGTTCCTTAAGCTGGCTCAGACGAAATCAGCTCTGGAGGACTCTGGTGAGTGTGGAAATGGCAGCGTTTGGAGGGTGAGAGGAGCGTTGCCCGGGGCAGGGGGTTGTGAAGCCATGGCATTAGCCATGGAGCCAGAGGGTGAGCTCCAGCTCTTGGGTCAGGTGCGGCTCCTCAAAAACACATATTCAAGACACTGGAGGTGGGCACCTCCCCTGGAGAAGCACGTATGGCCCCACCAACGCTGCTCCTGCAGCATGACCCTCCCTCCATCTTGCTGTGTGCCTCCATGTCCCCTTGCAGTGCCCACCTGTAGCCGAGCTCACGTGTTACTGCTACTTTCTCCCCGAAGTCCCAACCACCTTGAGCTTCACACATTACCTTCTAGCAAAGGGTTTTTTTTTTTTTTAATTAATGTTAATCAGATGACAATGTGATTTCTTCTGCAGATAGGAGTTACCAGCAGAATGTTACCACACTGGAGAAGATCCGGGAAGAATGGCAGAAAGAGCACATCAAAGCTTGTGAGGTAGATGCCCTGAAACGCCTTCACATGGCAGCGTGGTCCTCTGGATGTCTGTCCCGTTGCTGCAGGGGTTAGGGACATTTTGGCCCTTACCTGGCTGCATGTTCGGTGCAGCCATCATCTTGAACAGTCATGGTCACGGTCACTTCTGCACATCTGGCGATTTGATGCCAATATTTTCTGCAACACCACTCAGCAGAATCTGTCTGAAATTCTGGAAGACTTTAAATGACTTTGCAGCAGAGGCTGGTGGTGGGCTGGGGACGCAGGCTGGGTGAAGCCATGCTCACGCACCAGGAGTCCTTTGTCTTGTTTCTCACGGACCACATGGTAGCATGGGAACCCCTCCGGGCAGTTTTATCAGCCTAAAGCAGACTGTCTTGTAGGGAAGTGGTCTAGCAAGGATTTTTAGCATGTGCCGGGGAAGTCCAGAGACGGTGGTAAAGAGGACATGTCATCTGTGACTGAGGGACGGACAGGGACCGCAGGGATAGAGGTTTTATTCCAGGTCTGCTGCAAGCTTGCGAAAAGCCTTCCCATCCCCAGCTGCGCTGATTCCTCCCCAGACTACTTCTCTCCAGGCTTCTATTTTATTTTTTCCTTTTGAAATGGAATTTGCTGTCTGGTTTGTGTGGTGTGCAGCAGTGTCTCAGTGCTGCTGTGCTTTTGGTGTTTGTGGTCTCTGGAAGCTTCTCTGATGGTGGGGCATGTGAAGCAGTAGTTTCACTTCTGCAGATGGATCACATGGAGGTTTTCCCCTCGGTGTGTTGCAAAGGTCGTAACTGACAACAAGTGCATAGGTACTCTCGGGATGAAAGGTTATTTTTCCTGGAAATGCATCAAAGCACGTGAAATGGAGGTATAGCAGACAGCAGATTTCAAAAGACTTGGGTTGAAACCTGCTGGGAAAAGGACTGGGCAGAAAAGGGGGAGAAGACCATCCAGTCAATGCACCTCTGTTTTCATACATCCCCAGCACTTTTTTATTGCTCCATACCAGTGGGAGGGAAGTGAGCTGGGACTGCAGGACCATGGAGTACCTAGGGAACAGGCACTGCCTTTAGAAGCTGGCTTGGTCTCCCCAGAGGGACCGGTGTGCCAGGTGACCTCTTCCACATCAGTCCTGCAGACCTTCCTGAGCTTAACGCTCATCTTTGAAATTCCTGGTTGCATAGAGGGATGATTTCTCCTCTGGACAACCTGGAGGACTCGTGGTTTCCATGTTTCCTCCAGGAGACCACCACTACCTGCTCCTCACTGAGGACAGTCATCTTTGTAGTGGTACTTGGGGATGAGAAACATTCAGGATAGAAGAGATTTGCTCTCATTTTAAAGACGTTAGGGCTGTTTTGTCTGCGTCATTACAGTTCTTCGAGACTCAGGAGTGTGAGCGGATCAACTACTTCCGCAACGCCCTTTGGCTTCATGTCAACCAGCTCTCCCAGGACTGCGTCCAGAACGATGAGGTACGTCAAATGAAGGTCTCTCCATACCTTCATTCTTCTGTTTGGAAAGCAGAGCCCAATTTGCTTTCCTGTGCACTAAGCTGTGTTCTGTATGAGTTGGGCTGTGCCCTTGGATTTTGGCCAAGGTTTTTGGTCAAGGTTTTGTCCACAGCTCTTGCAAATGAGGTTTCCTCTGGGATTCTCACATTTTTTGAGGGTGGTGAGATACTGGCACAGGTTGCCCAGAGAGGTGGCAGATGCCCCATCCCTGGAAACATTTAAGGTCAGGTTGGATGGGGCTCTGGGCAACCTGATCTAGTTGAAGATGTCCCTGCTCCCTGCAGGGGGGTTGGACTAGATGATCTTTAAAGGTCCCTTCCAACCCAGACCGTCCTTTGATTTTACAGTTCCCCTACCATTGAAGCGTCTGTCCTGGGTGAGCACTGGGTTTTCACCTCATGTGTGATAAATGATTGGAAAAAACCCCTCTTGTTTTTTGACCTAATGTATAGAAATGCTTTTTATTTCCCTTTTGCAGAAATATGAGGAAATCCGGAAGAGTTTAGAAATGTGCAGCATCGAGAAGGATATTGATTTTTTTGTAAATTTACGCAAAACTGGAAGTTTGGCCCCGGGTAAGAGCTCAGTACAATTTCACAAAGCAGTGCTGATTTCCTTGTACTCTTCCTGGAGCCGCTGCTCTGCTCAGCATCAGCTTGGGTGCAAAAACCACTGATTTTACAACATCCCTCTGTTCATTCATCCGCATGCAGCACTAGTCTCTGCCACTTATCACCAGCCGCTGAAGATAATCTCCCCTTTCTGTAACTTTCTATTTCCTGATGATGGATTTTCCCAGAGAGGGGAAAGACTTAGCAGCTATATGTTGGTGTTGACAAGTAGCTTTATTGCTATTAAACATCTCTACTTTACTATTGTTAACTTTTCCTAGCTCCTGTTGTTTATGAAAACTACTATAACACCCAGAGAAATGCAACTCCTGTGAGAAGTCCGGTTCCTGTACCTATATCAAGGTAAGGGACATAACACATACAATTGCAATTTCTATGGCAAATGATGCTCTCCCCCCAAAAAAACCCCACATTTTCTTGCTTTTAGTCTGTTGGAGGCTTGACTTGGAGTGTTAGAAGAAAACATTTCCTATGCTATGTCATCCATCACCCTCCACAGCAGCAGTTATGCCAATTGCTGCTTATTATAAGCTCTTCAAGGACCACTCAGATGTTTTTGCTCCTACTTTTGATGTCATTTCTCCCTTCTCATGGGTGGGAATCTTATTCTGAAAGTGGTGAGGGTGTGCCCATTTTTTCTTATGCCAAGCCTCTTCCAGAAGTCCTTTGCATGGGGGGGCTCCAGTATTTGTACAGCAGAGAAGCCAGGCAAACTGGGGGAGTGTTGAGTTTCATGTCTCTCTGGGAACAAACTTTTAGAGCAGCCTTTGATATGAAGAAACCTTCTGGGCCCCTCTGCATGGTTCTCCGTGTGGTCTGTCCATCTGAGGAGAGATAGATCAGTTAAAAGCATGCACGGGTAGAGGGAGGAACAGCAGAGCCAAATTCACGCCTTCGGGACAGAACTTGGGCAGGGAGGACAAGGTGAAGGATGCTTCTGCCGGGGGAAGATCATGATTCAGTGCCAAAGACTTGTTAAAAATGAGTGTGCCACTTTGGCTGTTGTGTTGGGAAGAGGAGTCAGGGCCAATTATGGCTTCCTGATGGCTCACTCTGGCCAAGAGCATGTAAAAAGTCATCCTCTGCAGCCCACTGGTGAATCTTTTCCCAACTTAGTGCTTTTTGGTTATTTTTTCCTCTCCCACACCATATCAGCTTAGGTTTCCCTGCTGGCCAAGCCAGCTGTTGGTGGTGAGCCCACCATGACATGCCTTGGTACCAGGTTTCCATAAAGCTCATCTTGGCCACACCTCTTGCCCTCCCGCCAGCTCTGGGAGGGTGGTTTAGGAGCACAGAGCCAGGGCAGTGGGAGTTCTGTGGCCATGCAAATCCTCAGCTCCGTGTTTCCTTCTGTGCAGGAGGGGACCTCTACCCACCCCGACCAGTGTGCCAGGTGAGTTACTTGTTTTATCAGGCTTCAGAGGATGTTTCTGCTCCTGTTCTTCCCCATCAGATCATGAGCTATAGCACATTAAAGGGATTGCTTTAGGTGAAGCTCCTGCAGTAAGTCTGTCACCCACTGAAAGATGCTGGGAAGTTGGTCATTGGCTTTGGAGGCAAGGTTTCACGCACAAGAAGTTCTAATCAAAGCCCTGTGTGTAGGCTTTTCTGAAGCTTAGGGATGTCTAAGCTTGGGATCCCACCAGTCTCTGCAGTTCGGGCCCTTCTCTGCTTCAACAGCATGAGCTCTGTCTTTCCCAGTGTCACTTCAGTGATGGGATATTGAAGCGGGACTCGAGAAAATTAGGTCCTGCTTTGGCTCTTGGGCAAATCAAGTCATCTCTTTGAATCTCATTCAGCCCTGCCTCCCATCCCATGGGTGGCTAGTCCATGATAAAGTCTCTTAACGATCACTCCTCCTTAGCAGATCTAATTTTTTTGTTCTCTGTGTTTCAGGTGAGCCGGACTATGCCGCAGTCGATGGCTACAGCTTGATACATCACTAATAGCCACAGTAAGTACTCACGTTCGATGAAGAAAAGATTTAACATAAGATGTCGCTACACAGAGGAGGGGCAGTGGACAAAAAAAGGCCAGTGGTTAAGGGATGTCATTTTGAAATGACCAACTGGGAGTGATGGTCATGTCAGCTCTCCCATCACTTGTCTGAGCTGGAGCTGTGGTTTAGACACTCTCAATCCTCTTCTATAGGTTCTCCGGGCAGAAGACACTGTCAGTCTGGTCAGCATGGCAGAGGTGGTGTTTCCAGTTATTCCCAGCCACAAAGAGCTGAAGTTCTTCTCTGTTTTAAGAAAGTATTTGAGGACTCTGATAATTATTTCTACATTCAGAAAGTGCCTGCTAAAAATCTGTGCCTTTGATCAGCAAGCTCCTTGGGTGGATATCCCATCTTCACATGCAGAGGAAGAGAAGGAATATAAGCAACGGACCCAGATACAGGACAATCTTCTGTGTCAGAAGAAGTTTTTGATTTGAAGCTCTTCTAAAATGCAGCCATCTGGAAGAGGCTGGAGCCTCCCACGCTGCAGAAAACTAGACAAGTCCTGTGTGCTGGGGGGAGCGCTGCGATGCTTTCGGCACGCTGGCTTGTGTTCAGGGCATACGTTTCCCCCTCAGATCATGCTTTTGCCTGTTTCTAAAGTCTTTCATTAATGGTGATTAAACTTGTAATTTAGATTTAATTTTGGTCATGTCTCTCAGGAAGCTTAGAGAAGTATCAACCATGGAGGAGACAATAGGTCTGGCTTAGCTGTAGATGTGCTCCAGGCTTAAGCGCTGATACTGGAACATAATTTGCAGCTCTTCCAACCACCTCTCAATGAGGGTCTTGCATTGTTTTAGGCTCATGGTATAGCTTGTCCCTGGTAGGCTCTGGAGACCCCCATTTGATTAACTTCTGGGAATCCCTGAATTTGGACTCATTTTGGCTATGCATCACTGGAAACAAACCATTAGCCTGGAGCCATGAAACTCCTGACCAGGTCTCCTCAAAGTTCATGCTCTTTTTGTTACTGTGTATGTGTGACTCAGAAGCTCACATGCCTCAGGGCTGCTGGTCTCTTTGAAGTCCTTCCCCACGGTGTTGCTTAACAGTTCCTCAGTGCCTTGTGACACAGGACATGGGGACACAGGACATGGGGACCAGCACACAATTTAGCTGTCTAAACCTGGTGCCAGGTGACTAACTTTGGAGCAAGAGGAGTTGCTAGTTGTACGATATTCTTCAGGTTGAATCTGCATGACTTCAGTGTGTGCCTAAGATCACTGGTCTCCAGGGCTTTTACTGTATTTCCTCGAGCAGAGAAGCTCATGGCGAGCTTTACCATCTGTCCTGTTGTACTATAATGAACTGCACAAAGTGGACGTGTCAAGGAATCCGTTGTCTTATTTTACTTCTGAAAGACCAAGCATACAAATATTCTTCTGAAGGAACCTGCTGTAGTCTTAGTTCTTTAAATACATATTTTTAAAAATAACAGTTTTGAGACATGTGCTGGATACATCTTTTTTTTTTTTTTTCTTTTCAGTGCCTTCGCATTCACTATTTGTCAGGGCTGGGGCTGGTACACCCCAAAAGCACCCTAGGATGATCAGGTGGGGTGAGTTGCCTCTCCTGGAAGGAAGCCCACAAGACCATATTCTTCCTCAGCCTTTATTTTGGTCCTTGCTCAGTACCAAGACAGCTGTGGGAAAGAACACACCAAGGAAGGCTGGTGTGAGACCAAGTAGCTGTGGTTAGCCATGAACTGCAGAGCACACAGGGCTGTTTCTGCTGGAAGAGTATCTATACTCTACAGTACATTGCACGGTTTCTTTATTGTGATTTTTCAGCTGACTGAGCACAATAGACAGTGTTAGGCTTTTCTGGATGTGGAGGTCCCCAATGAGGCCAAAACTTGGCTTGTACATTCACTAAATGCACAGAAGTAATCCCAAAATAGGGGTGCTGATTCTGAATACACCAACTCTTTGAACAGAGCAAAGCCTGGCTTGGAAGAGCAGTGTCCAAACATAGAGCTACTGGGAAGCAAGTGTGTGACCGTGAGCACTGAAATGGGTTTTTATCCTCAGTAATTGCCTGGTTGTGTTCCAAGTGGTGCAGAAGACTTTGGTCTCCTCCCAGGCACCTATGGAGCAGCCCAGCCTCCTCCTGGGCCCCTATAGAAGTGTCTGGCCTCCCTATAGACGCTGATAACCAGCTGTGCCAGCTTCTTGGAGCAGTGTTCTCTGCACAGCTACTGCTGGCCCTGCCTGGGGTGCCCGACAGGGAAAACAAATGTCTTAGTAACTGCTTTAACAAGACAGAATAATAATAATAATACAGAAAATGAATAAATCTCACATCCCTTCATATGCTGGGCACCCCACCTCCAGGCAGCGTCCGACAGACCTTTCCCTTTTTGGTCCTTCGAGCCAATATACAAAATTACTTACAAGAAAACATCTCCATTCTTGAATTATCTTCACACAAGAGCTTCTTGCTGCACTTCTAGATACAGGAAAGGTCAGGCAGGTGCTATAAGGGCTGGTACCAAGTGGGACCTGCCCATAACCCCCGTTACTATGAGCTAGCAGAGCTCATCCTGCAGGGGCTTGTGCAGCACAGCCCAGAGAGACTGTGAGAAGTCACTTCTGCTCTCAGTGGCACCTGGAATTGTCTCCAACCATGGTTCCCTGGGGACGGCTGGCTGCAAGGGCAGGGATCAGGAGGGACAGTGGCGGCTGGTCCCCCAGGCTGAGCCAGCAGCCTTGCTGTGTCTGGAGGTGCCTTAGGCACTGCTGGACAGCCTGTCCCTCTCCAACGGCACTTCTAGGTCCTGCTACAGTGCAGGTAGAAGAGACCTCACGCTCGTCCTTCCCAACAGTGGAGGCTTGGCTCCTCGCCCCACATTCCCAGCAGCCTGGCTGCCCCCCAAATCCCTATAGAGGACCTCAGAGTCCCTAGAGGTCCTTATAGTAGAAAAAAAAACCGCTATAGGCGAGCCTGGCCTCCTCCCCGGCCCCTGTAGCGGAGCTTGTCCTCCTCCTACACCCCTACAGGGGAGCCTGGCCTCCTCCCAGGCCCCTATAGGGGAGCTTGGCCTCCTCCTACACCC